GTGATCTCTGCTCACTGCAGCCTCTACCTCCCAGGCTCAAATGATCCTCCTGCTTTAGCCCCCCAAGTAGCTGGGACTACAGTTGTGTGCCACCATGCCTGGCTAATTTTTGTAGTTTTTGTAGAGATGGCATCTCGCCATGTTGGCTAGGCTGATCTCAAACACCTAAGCTTAAGCTATCCACCTGCCTTGGTCCCCTAGAGTGCCGGTATTACAGGCATGAGCCACCATGCCTGGCCCAAATTTTAGCAAATAAGTAAAAATAACTTTGTTTTAACTTATTTAGTAAACAAGTAAAAATTTTAATAAATAAATTAAAATAACTTTCCTGTATAGGTCTGTGCCTTCTTGCACCTGGCCTGCTATCTTTCCATGGTTTTTGCCATTTAAATATTACTTTTGTGTATTCCTTTTCTTCTCCATCAACTCATATTGGTCCCTGCAAATAAGATTTCAAGCTCCACATCCAAGTGACTTTAAATATCAATTATTTATTTATTTTTCACTTAAACAGAGTGTATTTTGTGTGTACTCTCTGTACTGTATTCTGTATATATTTTGTATATACTCTTAATATATACACACACACACAAACACACAAGAGAAATGAAAATGTGTGTCTATACAAAAACTGTACATCAGTGTTCATAGCAGCAAGCCCACATATTGTATAATTCTGTTCCTATAAAATGACCAGAGTGGGTAGCTCTGTAGAGACAGCAGAGTGGTGTCTCACTAGGACTGGGAGTTTGGGGTAATGAAGACTGTGAATGGGTATGAGGTTTCTTTTTGGGATGATGAAAATATTCTAAGATCATGGTGATGATTGCACAATTCTATTCAAGTGTATACTTTCAATGGATGGATTTTTTGGTTATGTGATTATATGTCAATAAAGATGTTAGAAAAATAGGCTCTATAAGTCACTATGAACAATGCTCCATTTTTAGGTATTTTATAGTTCTGAGCATTTCATAAAATGACATATATATGTGTATCAGAGATGCTCAAAACACTTCAAATGAAAACTGGCTGTTTTTAGGAGTTTTCCATATAGTGTGGAATCCCTGCTTTCTCAGACCTGTGCAGTGTGTCCTGTTTACTGTCTGGTAAGCCCCTGGCTGCTGAGCCTTCAGGTCCCCTGGTCTCTCTGTGCTAACCCTTGCCCCTCTAAGGGCTTCACCAATTGTTCTTCAGCCAGAGACTCCTTTCTGCCCAGCTCGCCAGCACCTTTGTGCAGTGGAGGTTGAGAATGCCCCAAGTATGCACGTAATGGATCAGCCTTTCCAGCATTTGGCTTTGGCTCCCAGAAGTTTTGAGCTTTGGCAAATCTTACAAGCTCTGTGAGCCTCTGTTTCCCCATGTTCTCATATTCAGAGATGCGGGGCTGGACTC